ATATAGTAGAGATACAAGATCTGAGAGTGCTAGTACTCGCATATGCAGATGATATGATATATATTGCAAGAAATAAAAAGGAGCTAGACAAGATCACAGATTTAGCAAATGAGTTTTTTAAAATCAATGATATAGAAATAAATACGAAGAAGTCAAAGCTGGTGGTGCTCTTCTCAGCAAACCAGAAAATAGCGGATAATGGAATAAGATTTAGACCAAAAAAAGAACTGGTGATTTGAAAGAAGCCAGAAGACCTGACAAGATATCTCAGAATTTAGATATCAGAAAAAGCAAAACAGAAGCATATGTGTGAGATTATTAAAAAAGAAGTATAGGTGATGGTAAAGGAACTAAAAAAGAAGAAAATATCACTGGCATATATGCAGTATATTAACAACAGGGTGCTGATACCAAGAATAGAATACAGAAGTCAGCTCTATATCCTCCCAAGAGAAGTTTGCGACAGATTACAGGGCCCAATCTTTATGCTAATTAAAAACAAAACAAAAATAATGTATACAATGCCAAATGAAGCTATAGCACACTGAAATATAGTAGGAATAAGAACAATTTGGCAGAACCAACTAGTATACCATATCACAGAACTAACTGCTAGGTTAAACAACAAACAAGACATAGGCCAAGCCATGTAGCTAAGAATTATGCAAGTACAATTAAATCTCAAAAGCAGCAAATGCATTCTAGATCTTAGTTTGCAGAGGATAGAGCAAATAGACATCAAAAACAATTATGCTATAAAATAATTAGAGAAGCAAAAAGATTAGAAATCAGCATTAGGTCACCAGAAATAAAAAGAAATTTAGAAGTTATAGAAGGTAGAACAGAAATAGCTGGCATTTTGGAAAGAAGTATAGACCAAGCTTCAGACAAAAAAAAACAATGAATGTCTTCACACTCGAACAATTACTAAATAGAGAAAGAAACAAGCTACTTACATGAGACTAGACTAAGAAACTCAGAGGTTGTAACAGCAAGAAGAAAAAAACAAAATAATTCCAAAAATTAGAGAAAATGGTGCTAAAAAGTGAAAACAACAGAAGAATAAAAACATAATTCTACAAAGGTCCAGAAAATTACAAATCAATCAAAGCAAAGCTATGTAAGATAAGCAGCGATAAAAGAAGATAAGAGTAGATCATATACAAAGAAGAGAACAGAAATGCTGAGATCAGAAAAATAGTAAAGAAAAAAGAAGATGGAAGGTACGAAATAGAGCATTGGAACAGAAATAGTACATCTGAACCAGATGAAATATTTCTAGATCCATGCAAAGATTGCACAGAAAGAAACAATGAGGAAGAGCCCAGTATATGCCGAATCAACAAGCAGTTTAAGGGAATAAGAAGAGCTCTAGATAATAGTTGGATTGGTAAAAGCAATGATGATGACCAAACAAGATACAAAATAACAGTGCTATAGGAGAATTTAGCAAGAATGAGAGAACCTCAAGCAGTAATAGAAGCAAAAAGAAGAGCAGAAAGACAAATAACAGAGATAAGAATAGGTTCTGTCATTAAAGAAATAACATGAAGCTGTATAGACGGAGTAGAAGCAGTAGCAAAGCTAACAGCAATTTTAGAAGACATTATAAAGTACAAAACATTTGAAGTATATACTGATGGCTCACTACTAGAACTGCAAGAAACAGCAAATGAAACCAAGATGAAAGTAGGGTGAATCCTACAGATGCAAGAAGAAAAACCATTAAAAGAGGTAGCAGATTTTAATTGCACTATAATAGGCTGGCCCTCATCAATAAGGGCAGAGCTAGGTGCAATTCTGACTGTGCTTTTAGTCTTGCTAGAAGGAGTATCTATAAAGATATATACAGATAGCCAAGTAGCAATTCAAGCAGTTCAAAAAATGGCAAAAATAAAGAAAATATGCAGCTACCTCAAAATGAAGAACAGAAGTATTTTGGGACAAATAGAATATATAAGAAAAAGAAAGCAATTAAAGTTTGAACTGTACAAGGTAAAAGGATACAGCGGAATAGAAGAAAATAAAAAGGCAGATAAACTAGCAAAAGAAGATGCAAGATCGAACAAGGTCATCAAAGTATAGCTATCATGGACCAAACTAATACATATTATATTTAGGTGAAAAGGGTTAATAGTGGATAAGCCTATTAGAAGTTTTGTAAATTGGATCACAACAGTGATTCTAGATACAGAATGGGCAGGATTAAGTAGAATGAGAAGATGAGTAGGAGAGGAAAGTGATGATAGTTTAGATTAGAGAAAATATAGAAATATAGAAAGGGTAAAGGGTAGCAATTGTTTAGATAGTAAAACAAATAATAAGTAGACATTTAAGATGAAATGTTTAAATAAAGTACTGCCAACAATGATGGAGCTCAAGTCTAGAAAGCCTGATCTATACAAGACCAACAAGTGCGTCACGTGTCAAAAAAACTAAAAACAATAGACCATTTAACAAGCTGCGTAGACTATCAAGGCATATGAAGTATAATAGAAGAAGAAATATGTGATGAAATAGAGAAAATCATAAAAAAGGAAAAATTTGCTGAAAGAATACCAACTAGAGATGCAATTAAAAAAAATATTTTCAGCGCATCTAACACTGAATGGATAGAAGCAAGAAGTCACATAATTAGAGGTCTAATTAAAAAAGAACAAAAACAAAGATTAGAGAATATGCTCCAAAGCAGAAGAGCAGCTAGCAAAGTAATAAATGTAGCACTTAATAAGTTGTGCTAAAGATTTCATCAGCACATCTGAAATTTTAGATATGAGCTACAAATAGAGTGAGAAAAAAAGAAGGAATCTCAAAGAAAGATAAGAAGTTGAAAAAGGCCAACAAGAAAAAGAAGAAAAAAAAAAAAAAACGAAGAAAATAAAGAAAATCAAGTACAAACAGGAGAGCAGAAAAACAAGAAGAAAGAACATGCAAGAGCAGTAGCATTCAAAACATAAAAAACCTAGTATGGGATGATAGGAAACCAGATTGGTTATCATGGGTAAGATGCAAAGTTAAAACAGATGTAAATTGACAAGGTGGGTAGTCGTCAACCTGTGACTAAAGAGATTAAATCCTTAGTGAATTAAGGATCTGAAGAGAGGCCAAGGACTACTGAGGCAGGTCACACTTAGGTGTAAGCCGAGGGAGAGTCTCTAGTTTGGTTAGATTAGCAATAGCTACAGATAGATATGTATAATTCTTGAATGCTTAATCTCAAATAAACAGAGGCAGGATTGCTGAATTAAAAAAAAAAATAATAGCTAGTTTATTTTTATGTTTTTGATAAATTTTGTTTTATACATAGAATTTCTAATCGAATTTTTTTTATTATAATAGACTGATATCCTTTTAGCCATTGATGGTTTAAACAAACGGGATAGACCAGACCCCACAAAACAATAGCACAAATTCGAAGATCGATTTATTGCAAATTCTTTCTCAGTTATTATGCGTAGTATTGAATACTACGTTAGTAAGGATCAAGTACTTCAAAGCATCTAACAATTGCATTGATATCAACATGAAATGCACTTGGAAAAACTAAATCTGGAGAGGCATGAACACCACAAAAAAAGAAGAAGAATTAATATCCGAGCATCACAGGTATATTATTATCAATAACATTATATATATATAAATATCAGCACTATACATCTCACTCTTATTATTATTTTAATAATAATATTATTATTTTAATATTATTATAACTATTATTTATTATTTATATTATTATTACCATTATTTTATTATTTTTATTTTATTTTTACTTGATTAATTTTAATTTATTTTATTAAAAAATGTGAAGATGAAGAAGTGGTTTTAACCATTTAGTAAAAACGAAAAACCACTCCTTATATAAAAATTTACCCAAACAAATATCTCAAAAACAAGCGGTTGCTAATATCAGATGAATATTAGAGATTCAGAATTACTATAGTGATGAAATTTCTGATATTAATATCGAGAAGGCCATTAGAGAGCGGAGAGACGAAGATCGGGATAGTGAAAATGACCACAATGACTAAGTAGTCAAAGTGCTAGATAAACCCCAGAAGGTAAGATCTAAACCTATATAAATATTAGTATTATACTTATCTCAGTACTTATTTTTGATCTTGGACCAATTTTATATATAGTGTAATAATATAAGTACTATCAAGGGAAATAAGACTTTAGGCTTTAATTTTATTATTGTTATTACTGCCGATATTGTATATATATATTATATCAGAGTTGACAAATGGACCAATTTGACCAATTTGACTAATTTTTTGGCTATTATTAAAATTTAATATTAATATAATTAAAAAATTTTAATAATATATTAAAACATTGGTTAAATTAGTCAAATTGGTCTATTTACCAACTTTGTATATATTGCCGATAGCTAATCTAATAAATGATAAAATCAAAAGCTCAAAGTTTTTTTTTTCTTTGGCAATGCCTATATATATAATTTTTTTCTTTAGCAATGCTTGTATATGTATATATTGACTTATAGTTAAAAAATATTTTATAGTCAGTGGAAAAAGTATCTACTATAAAAAAGAAATGCAAAAGATATCGGTAGACAAATGCTTCAGGATTAGTAGATCATCATATCACTCCACCTTTGGATACACCAGATTGGATGCTATTCAGATCATATCTTAACCATGATGTCTTCATGTCCAATAGTGATAGCGATACCTCTAATCTAGATAACCTGGATAATTCTACTAACTCAGATAACCACACTAATTCAGATAACTCCACTAATCCAGATGACCCCACTAACTCAGATAACTCTACTAACCTGGATAACCCTACTAACCTGGATAATCCCACTAACCCAGATGACCCTGCTAATCTGGATGCTACTGTTAACCAGGATGCCACTGCTAACCTAGATGCCACTGCTAACACAGATATTACTGCTAACTCAGATGTTACTGCTAATCTGGATGCTACTGCTAACCAGGATGCTACTGCTAATCCAGATGTCACTGCTAACCAGAATGCCTCTGTTAATCAAGATGACTCTGCTAACCAGAATGCCTCTGCTAATCAGGATGCCTTTGCTAATCAGGATGCCTCTGCTAACCAGGATGCCCCTGCTAACCAGGATGATCCTACTAACCAGAATGCCTCTGCTAACCAGAATGATCCTGCTAACCAGAATGCTCCCAATAACAACAATCCAGATGATCCCGATAGTGATAATCCGAATGACCCCAATAGTAATAATCCAGAGGATACCTTTGATGATGACTATAAAGCTATTGCTAGACCTAGTAAACCTCAGTATAGTGTATACAATATATGTTCACAATCAAAAAACTTTTCAGGCAGTACAGATAAAAAAAGTAATACTGTTTGTTTAATTATAACTAAATGAAACTAATCCTAGTTTTTGAATTTAACAAAAAGCATATCGACCAGCTGTTTTTAATAAATTTAGTAATATTAAAGGTATGTCAAAAAAGGTTGTTGATAAAAAAGATAAATCAAAAGAGGTTGTTGATGAAAAAGGTAAATCAAAAGTGGTTGTTGATGAAAAAGGTAAATCAAAAGAGGTTGTTGATGAAAAAGGTAATTCAAAAGATGTTGTTGATGAAAAAGGTAATTCAAAGAAAGTAAGTATGTATTGGGTCTAAATTATACTATTAAATCATATAATCTTAAGCAATATTAGCTAGCCAATACTAATATATTGGCTGGCTAAGCTGGCTAAATTGCTTTAGCCATGACTGCTCCAGATGGCTTATAATACTAATATTGGCTAATTTTTATACTAATATATTAAATTGCAGTTAAATATCGTTAACTTATACAAATTATTATTTATTGTATATATT